GACTGTTTTGCTAAAATATTGGAGGTAGAACAAAGTGGGTACACAAAGGGGTGTCACACTGATCTATAACATATACATTACTTTTTATGAAGAAAAGTAGTATATTAGTTATAACCTGTAGATAGTAACATAATTTGTATACACATTTCACTTATCCCTGAAAGTTGCTCAATGAGGCAAGTGGTGTTAATTCCATTTTATGCGTAAGGGAATGAAGCTCAGAATGTATAAATATTCAGTGTATGAGTGAAAAAAGGAATGAATGAATCTCTAGGAAAATCTGCATGGATTGAGTGGCTTAAGAAGTTAAAATAGAGAAGTCAATATTTCAGTCCATTTAGCACTCAATTTATAGAGTAAGCTGGTCCGATAGTCACGTGGGGTTTATGTTTGGGGGTAGGATGCTGCTGAAGAACCATTGATGACAATTTTTAAAGAAAGCAAGAATGAATAACAGATGAAACAACATCATGGAATAGAAGAACAATGGTGAGTCAAATGGATGATCAGGCTTTCACCAGAAACAAGTTGCTTTGTGGTAAACTTTCCAGCTACTGGAATATATGGAAAATCTTTCATAGACGTCAATAAAAAAAAAAATGTTTGAAAAGTTAGGAGAATCAACAAATTAATTTAAAAAACAAGCAAATACTAATTTAGGAATTAGAACATTTGATTTTTAAATAATTCTTAAAGAATTTGAAATAATTATTTAAGACCTTTCTATTAAAAAAAAGAAATCAACGACTCACCTGAAATCTAATTGTTTTATATTTCAAATTCTACTCATTTAAGGAACTTATAAAATTGTACAAATACTTCCACAAGTAGAAAATGAGAGCACACTCTGCAACTCATTCTATGAGACAGAATAATTTTGATAAAATATTAGAATGGAGGTAATGAGAAAGAAAAATGATGTCTTTTGTGTTCATAAATATAGGTGCAAGTTTCTAAATAAAATACTAGCAAACAACATAATTCATTTATAAAAAATATTACTAAGCAATGTCTATTTTTGAGTACATGAAAGGATCATAAGAAGGGTTTAATACTGCAGAATTACATAAATGTATATTCCCATATTCACCAGTTAAATGAAATCAACCATATAGCTTAAAAGATGCCAAAAATTGGGGCCTCACCTGGTGGTGCAGTGGTTGAGTGCTGGGTTGTGAAGCTGCCTCAGCCTCTGCAGTGCCAGTTTGATCCCTGGCCACCAGGGAGGGTCCCATAAAAAAAAAAAGATGCAAAAATTAATATTGATACATTTTATATAAATTATTACTATAGAAAGTTTATAGGGATAGGAATAGAAGGAAACTTTATAAGGGATGTCAGTCAAAAATGACAAAAAAGAAAGAAATAAAATGAAAATTCCTACAGCAGTCATATTTCAATGAAGAAATTATACAGTTGTTCCATTTAAACTGAGGGACAATATGGGTGTTCTTGATGAATATTCCAATTCCACAATATATCAGAGTTTGGGTCAACACAATAAGACAGGGAAATAAATAACAATTATAAGTATTGGAGATCACTAATAGTAGCATTTTTATTAACTTGTAATATAATTATTTACATAGAAATTCAAATGACTACAATAAAATATAATAGAAAAATTAGAAATAATGTGACTGGTATAAGATCAATATGTAAGTCAAATATATTTTTATATATCAGTAACAAAAACAATAATATTTGTAAGCCATTTAAAAATATTTAAAATATCAGCACAAACTATGAAACAGCCAAAAGTAAATCTTACAAAATATATGCTAGACATGTTAGCAGATAATTAAAAAACTCTGCGGAAGGACATTAAATAATATTCAAATGTATCAAATGATCCTATATTCATAAAGATACTTAATTAAGAAAATAGAGTTATTTCTTCCAAAATTGATCAGTGGGCTTGATATAAGTCCAATTAAAATCATATTTTTTCTTTGTTTTTATATATTTTATTTTTGTGGAATATGACATCTAATACATCTATATATATAACAGATGCATACTCTATATATAGAAAAGCAAAAAGAAAGAAGGAATAATAGTCAAAATTATTCATGTTCTAAGAAATGTAGACTTACTTTAAGGGTTTGGTAATTATAAGCATGTGGTACTGGTACAGGGATAAATAAATTCATGGAAAAAACAAAGAATATTGAGATTCCAGAAAGAATTGTATTCAGAAGTGAAAATTTCATTTATGGTTCTGTTACACAGTAAAATTTTGAATTATACAATAAATGAAAAGACTGATTTAAAACTGATAAGAGAAATAGGTGCATTAACTCTGGAAGGAAGGAAGCATAGATGGAAGGGATGGAGAGAGGGAGAAAAACAGGAAGAGAGGGAGGGAGAAGGGAGAGAATGGAAGAGAATAAAGTGATCCCTCTCACGAAACACCGTAATAGAATATTGTGACATGCATTATATTTTAATTCTAATTCTAATAGAATATATTTCCTACCTCACACCACATAGAATTCCTATGTCAAAAGTAAAACTGAAACTTTAAGTGTATATGTCAATTTTTTTCTGATCTTTGGCTTAGCAAACTTTTCTTATAATAAAGTGCTAGTCACTTAAAATATTGATAAAATTGAATATGTTAAAACTAAAATCGTGTCAATTAATGTGCATAGTAATGAAAGTAAAATTTTTAACTTGTCAAAGATTTTTACAAAAAAAGGATTAAAATAAAAAAAAAGATTTTTTACAAATCAATAAAATGGGAGAAAGAGAAGACACATTTCGTAGAAGAGTGTACACTTGGAATTAAGAAGTGTGACATAAGATGTGTCCAAGAAGATAAGCTCAGCAAAATCTTTTCTACGCAACCAGTTGGGTTTATGGTACCACTACTTTGGGAAACAAATTGTCATTTTCTTATAAAGTTGTACATAAGTATACCCTCCTGTGGAAACAGCCACTGACCTTGAACACTAGAAAATATGTAATAATGCAGGTTTTGTAAGAACATAAAACTAATCAAATAACTGCTGACATGGATTTAAAAGGCATGTTCACAAAAAAGGTATTTAACACAGCTGTAGAAATAAAATAATTGCAACTACAATGGAGAGAACTTCACCTACTGCATGGATGAATCACAATAACACTGCTATGTGGGAAAAGCAAAAAAACAAAAAGTTGTTTGAGGCACATGATACCCCCAAATTCAGAATTGTGCTTACCTCATGAATGAATAAGGGTCATGTTATAGGAAAGAGCACAGGTATATGTAATTATTGGAAATATTCTACCCTCTGGGCTAGGCACTTGGTGTAGGTATTTATATTTATGAAATTTATACATAATTTAAGCTTATACATAATATAAGCCAACCAAGTGGAGATAGAGTGGATGAAATATTGCAGCATGTGTAAAGATAAATATCTTCATTTGCAGTGTAATACCCAAAAATAGCAGGAAAATTTTAGGTGCTAAATATTCTTGACTGTTACTTGCAGATGGTATGGTTTCATTAATTTTAATATATTTCCTATCATATGTATGATATTTGTATTTATCAAATCATTTGTATTAAACAAAATGTTTTTTCTAATGATGCTAGTTTAAATGAAATATATAACTCATATAAGGAATTTATAAAATAATAATAAAAAATAATTCAATGTAGAAAATGGACAGGTTTTTTTGGATGTAATGCACATCTGTAAATCTACAAAATTGTGCTCAATCACCTAGTCAATAGGGGATTGTGATTTTACACTTGGCAATACAATGTTTTTTCTCTCCTATTATAAGCAAAAATTACCTAAAGTTGTATACATATATTGCTTTAGCATTTTGAAGAAATGGGCACTTAGGTTTTCTACACTGGGAGGCATTCAGAGGATACTATGATGAAATAGTGGAATATTTCCACCACAGAAGTTTAGCCTTCAAAACATACACATGCTCACATAAATGTCCTTCAAATAATGGTAACTGAATTACTTATTATTCTGTAGTAGTGAAACACTAGAAATAACTTAAAAGTACCTGAGGAAAAGGATTTATTTATTTAGTCATGGATTGCACACCCCACATAATATATTCATGATATAACATTATCCAGGCAAATACAGATTTCTTTCACATAAGTGAAAAATGAAGCACATATGTAAATTAATGGAATGTAGAGGATAATCTTATTCATGTTAAAATATGTATGAAATAAAATTTACATGTGTATTTCATATATGTGAAAATACAGGAAAATATTTTAGAAGATTATTATTATAAGAGCAGTGCTTATGTCTGGGGGAAGGGAAGTGAAATGACATATTCCAAATAGTCCTGACCTGCTTCAGTTCTTTTATTGCAAGAAAATAAGTAGGTTTGTTTGTATACCTGCCTTTGTAACTTTCTCTAAGGTAGGTTGCACCTGTTTGCAGTTAAGTTTGAGGATTCCTATGTGGAAAACATTGGAAAGACTAGGGGAAGTCTGTCTTCTTTGTATTTACCAACTTTAAGTCAGAAGGGAATGCTGAAATAATTGGCTATAATGCCAACTGCAGCTCTATCAGTTTCTCCTAGTAATGGAGAAAGCATAGGACTGTCAAAGAAGTACTGACACATTAGTCGCATTTATATAATTATTCAAAATTTACTTTGAATATTTGATAATTACAAATTATTGAATGAAATAATGGAGTATATTCACTCTGATTTATGTGAATTGCAGATTACATCTGGAAGAATATCTTAAAGATTATTTAATTGGTTTTATAATGTTAGAGCTGCAAGAAAAATATATTTATTACAGAATTAGACTGTATAATTAAAATGTTTAGCTTAACATTTTGATACTTTTATTTTAGAATTTTATTGTAGATAATAATATTTTCACTGAAATCATTCAGATTATTTGTTTTCACAAAATAAAATGTCTTACATTAGATATAATTCCAAGAATACAATATTTAGAAGTCCTAATTTAAAAAAAATAATCAATCTTGTACCATAACATGCTTATTTTTCAGGTTAAACTTTTTCCGTGATGTTTCTGACTTCAGAGTCTTAGCCTGTGGTGGAGATGGAACCGTGGGGTGGATCTTGGACTGCATAGGTAATGAAGACACAATGTTTAATGGGTTTGAGATGAGAGTGGTACCTTATAGTCTGTGTATTTTATTTATTTATTTTATGATTTATCAATATCTTTGGAATTGTAATAAGACAATTGGGCATCTGAAATGTTGCACAGTTTAATTTATTCAACAGTTAATTGGCAAAATAATCCACATGTATCTAGACATTCTTTTTTAATCCACTTTTCTTGGAATTTACTAAATCCTCAGATATTTTCATTGTAAGGTCTACAAAATTCAGTTGTTTCTTTGCCCTGAAAAGGTAACCAAAAAGGATCTTAGTATTTGTGATAAGTCTGGGTCAAACAGATGTGTTGAATTTAATCGAGGAGACTTATTTACAACTTTATCCTCTATGTATCTTCATGTCACCATCATCAATCATATCATCATCATCATAGCTAAATATTACTTATTATTAGCTAGCTAATAGGCCTTGGGGTAAGATTTAATTCGATCACTCGTTAATTCTTAGAACTCTTTAAGTGGGGATAGTATTAATAACCCCAACTCTAATAAAATACTAGACATAGGGAGCCTAAGTCTTAGACAATTTAAAATAGCTATAACAAGTCTTATAAATGTGAAATGATAGAGTTGGGATTAAGACACGTACTTTATTCTATATAACACATTTTATTCTATATTACCTTTATATTTGAACTTTAACTGGTAGAATTTTATAAACTATCAAAGCAGGTACTGATTGAAGATGTAAGGTAGAAATGTGTCATAAGAAAAGCTTGATAAATTCAGAAAAAAAAATTTGTTTTTACAAACAGAGCTCTATCAGAACAGAATATTAGTCAGTAAAATAGATCATGAATTACCTTTTATGAGGGGATAAAATCAAAATGCTTATTTTAAATTGATTTCAGTAATTGCATTGGCCAACTTGTTAAAATGAGGTTCAATCACAAAAAGAAAAATAATTTTTGGAAAAGAGTTTTTTTATATTTAAATTGACAAATTTTAGTTACTCAGTGTTATTAAGAATGTCTGCAAAAACATCTTGTTTGCACAATTTTAATAAGCATCAAGTGACTTGAATCTATTAAATCTATTTTATAGAAACAGTGAAAATTGAATTTGGCATTCCAATAGAAGACGTAAATAATATTAAGACGCTGTAATTATGGAGAAATGCAGAATTTAAAATTGTAAATAATAAGGAGTTGTTCATTATTTAAAATTGTAAATAATAAGGAGTTGAGGATTCTAGAGTGAAAAATAGTGGGAAATTGTTGGTCCTTTTTACTCCTCAAAATCTAACCCTTCGTTCATTCACTGTGACACGTCCTGAGTTATCTATTCCATTCTTGCTCAGGACTCAAATTGACTGTTAAGAAGGAAGAAAATATAAAGAAAAGTAGTAAATATTTGTGAGAGTAATTTCAAAGCATATGATGGTTCAAAGCAAAACATATGGAATTTCAGATTGTTACTGCTTTTAGATTGTTACCCAAAGCACTGTGCTATGTAAAGTTTAATCTGAAAGAAAACCTGCTGATTTGAGTCCCCCAGCCTTCTCCTTTACTTGACACAAAGCAGCACCACAGGTGGTGGGCACAACACCATGATATTGTCTACACTTTACTGTATTCTTTAGAATTCAGCTGCTTTCAAAATAATTTATTCCTTAAAGTAAAATGAGCCAAGAGTGATATATGGATATAAGGATATCACTGTAGTAGAGTTGCTGGTCTCCATATAAAGTATTTTTGCAAAATCAACCTTGGCTCAATGTAACATCCATGAGATTATCTATATCAATAAGGATTTCAATGATATTAAATCAAACTCATCCCAATTTTTAACTACATTAAGATATTTAAAAGATTTTCCTCTTGCAGAAGTCTTGAAAATTCTAGTCAGTTTGTGAATTATGGTAACAATTTTTTCTATTTTATAAATGCATATACATTCATCTTAATTCATAATTATATATCTGGGCTATGTAACTTTTTCTGTTTATAGAATGTGTTTTTTTATGCCAACCTATCTTTTATACTGTTGTTCTATGATCAAAATTTATTTATTTTTGTTTAATTCCACAGAAAAGGCCAATGTAGCCAAGCATCCTCCAGTTGCGATTCTGCCTCTTGGCACCGGCAATGATCTAGCAAGATGCCTGCGATGGGGAGGAGGTAAAACAATGAAAAACTTAAAAGCAGAAATACAGTGCAGAACACCACCCCATCCCCAACATTTCTTCACTGAATGACCACTTTAATGTGCTTTCACCAAATAGAATTGCTGTCTGATATGTGTCTGTGAGTTTGTGGGTTCAATTTTCTTAACATTTATAAGGAAAAAATAATGTTCATGTAGATGCTTTATAGGACATTCACAATCTGGTAATACATGATAGGAAAATTTGCTTAACACCAGGGGAGGTAGAAAATCTGAGCTTGGGGGCCTCCCCCGGTGGTGCAGGCAGTTGAGCACAGGGCTGTGAAGCTGTCTGCAGCCTATGCAACTGGTTCGATCCCAGCCCGCTGGCGAGAATCCCACATTGCGTGGTAGACCTCTCCAGTCTCGCCTGCTGCTCCCCTCAGCAGTGTATTTTGCCAATCTGCCTGTTCTGCTCCCCGCTCTGAATGGTGAATCCTCTCACTCTCCTGCGAATCTGGCCTGTACCCCAGCTCTTGTATGTATGGATAAATAAATAAATCTTAAAAAAAAGTGGGGCCTCCTCTGGTGGCGCAGTGGTTGAGTGCTGGGTTGCGAGACTGCCTGCGGCCTCTGCAGCACCAGTTCCTTCCTAGGCCACCGGCGAGGGTCCCACCAAAAAAAAAAAAAAAAAATCTGACCTTGGCTTAAATGTGATAACATTTAAGAGGCAATCTATCTAAATATTATTTTTATTGAGGTGCTACTAACTTACAACAGTGTATATGTTTCAGGTATACAATTTTTCTCCTCAGCAATTGTATATATCAAAACACATTCACCACCAAGTATCCCGTCACCATCCACGACAAATCCATTCCCTGTTCCATCAACCCACTTTCATTCTGGTAATCACCATTCTATTTTCAGAGACTAAATATTTTATGTTGTGTGGGGCAACACCACACTGACAAAGACCCGGGAGTCTTGAAGCAGGCTGCACAAGGCAGGATGCTGCTTAGAACAAGATCCTGGCCTTTTTTATTGATAGAAAAATTACACGGCAACAGTTATGTGCATTAGGAGGACAAGGAGAAAAGGATGGGTGAAACTCAGGAATGTCATCTAGGGCTTGGGGGGACATGAATCTGCTGACCATGTTATCAGCTTGATGACCAAGTGTTGTCATAGAAACTGGACCCCTGACCCCCTTCCATGGTCCTAATCTTACCAACAAAACATTCCAGTGATCAACTTCTGGGGTCCCTTGTCATACATAGGTCCTCAGCCCCCTGGGCGTTCCCAGTCACACCTCATGATGCATACCCTTCCTGGAGTGATCCAGCTTTCTGCGTTTGATTGATTTGAAAAATACTGTGTAAGGTTTGGTTCATATGACTGTGACTGGGCAGTTCTGACCTTTGCATAGGAATGCACAACTGAAGGTAACCATAATGGTGGCTGAACAGGCTGCTTAAGTCTAGCAGACCCCTTAAGTCTAGCAGACCCACAGTTTTATTTGTATGTTGTTTGTTCCTTTACTTTGTTTCATTATATTCCGCATATAAGTAAAATTAGGCAATATCTCTCCTTTTCTGACTTGTATTTCAGCTGCTTTCAAAATATCATTTACTCCTTAATATAATCCCTTCAAGTTCCAACCAAGATTGGAACTTAACAAGATTTCTCCTTTTTTTAGCGATTGAGTAATATTCAATTGTTTAGCCTTTCCCCAACTTTATCTAATCATCTGTTGTCAGGTATTTGGATTGTTTCCAAATCTTAGTGGTTATGAATAGTGCTTCAATGAATATAAGGGTGCATATATCTATAATTAGTGTTTTCATAGTCTTCAAGGACATACCCGAAAGTGGGACTATTGGGTAATAAGGTGGTTCAAGTTTTAATTTTTTGAGGAACTCCCATACTATTTTCCAATGTGGCTATACCAATTTACATTCCCACCAGCAGTGCATTAGGGTTCATTATTCTCCACATCCTTGCAAACATTTATTAGTTCTTGAGCTTTTGACATTAGCCATTTTACTGGTATGAGGTAAAATCTCATTATGGTTTTGATTTCCATTTCCCTAGTGATAAGAAATATAGAGTATCTGTGTGTGTGTTGGCCATCTATATGTCTTTGGTGAAATGCCTATTTTGATACCTTGTCTCTTTTTAGTCTCTAGCACTTTGATTATCTCATACCATTCCTTTCTAGCCTGATTACTCTTTGAAACATCTGATAGTTTTATGGGGTTTCTTTGCACGTGACACAAAATTTTTCTCTCATTGTTTTTAAGATTTTTTTTTTTAATCTTTGCTATTTAAATTGCAATGAGTATTGGTGTGGGTCTCTTTGGTTGCTCTTTTTTTGGAATCTTTGGGACCTTTTATATCCAGATACCTGCTTTTTGCTGCTGCCTTGACTCTTTAATAGTTAACTGAACAAATATGCTATAAATGTAATTTATTCTGCTTTAGAGAATGTTGGCTTTATTTTAGTGTCCGTACTTTCTTCTTTTAACCCACTTAATATTTACAACGTTTTATATGCTGACACCTCTAATGAGGACTCATAGCCTTTGGCATTTGCTTGTTCAACAAATAGATTATTAAAATATAGAACAAAGTTGGACACAGAAAATAATTATGGGAGCATTGTTTCAATTCAAAATATTATTTTAAGAATGTATGTCTGTAGTGTAAGAGATACTTATTTAACTTAATATAAATTTTTTAAAGATTTATTTATTTATGCATACAAGAACTGGGGTACAAGCCAGAGGTGTGGGGGGGTGGTGAGAGGATTCACCAGAGACAGAGTGGGAAACAGAACAAGGCAGAGTGACTGAAATACACTGCTGAGGGGAACAGCGGGCGAGTCAGGAGAGGTCTGCTGTGCCATGTGGGTCAGCTCCCTGGCTGGGAATCGAACTTGTGCTGCAGTGGCTGTGGATAGCTTCATAGGTTGCATCTTAACCACTTGTGCCACCAGGGAGGCCCCTTAATATAATATTATAAAGTAATATGTTATCAGTATTACAATATTGAGAACTTTATTTTTTTAGACCTCATATACTAAGAACTTCTGTTAATTTTATCACTTTTAAATAGTCTCACATCACATCATGTTTTTATAGAAGGGGAAACTATTTAAGCTAAAAGCAAATGCAATATATAACATGGCCAGAGTTAGACTACATTCATAACTATAATATTATATACCTATACAGACAATTAAGAGGAGATTTAACATTTTTATTTTCTGATCATGTTGACTATATGTAACATTTTTATTAAAAAATAGATTTGTTGAATGTTATTCTAGGGCAGACCCATTAAAAGGTTCTTAGTGTGAAAGATGCAGATAGCCATAATGCAAAATACTGGCACTCAGGCAGGGCTTGTTTTGAAAATTATGTGCTATGGAATTGCATATGGCCCATTGTTTTGGGAGACTGCCTTCTGGAAGGAAGCATTATGAAATATAAAACCTGTGGAAGAAGTAGAAGTTAGTGAATCAAAAGAAAAGGGTTTCTCAGGGTACTTATAACAAGAGATGTTATGACACAAAGTTAAAAATAAAAGAACCTTCTACTTAAATTGAATGTTACTCTGTATCATGATGGGAAAGTATGAGGATAAGAGTGATGGACAAGGGAGAGATGTAAAGCAGCATCCATGTTATTTAATAAAGCAACTGCTAGAGAGTATTGGTTTCTGAGAGACAATCACAAAAGAAAGAAGATATGGAAGCAGACAATTCCATTTTGAAAATGTTGATGTGTAATTTTGTGGTGGGGGGGGAATATGCAGTGGAAATGTTCGATTGGCAGTTTGGCATGCTGAGAATTTTCACCACTTGAGAGAAATATGAGTTGCAAATTAAACTAAACAAAAATATTGTTATGAGTAAAATAAGATTATAGTTAATTCTTGTGTTAGTTTTGCATAAAATGCATTATTTAACTTTAGAATGATACAAGTATACACAACCAATATGTACAAATGTTATTTTGTTGTTTGGTTATATTTTTCTTAAGATAATTTTTTTATTAGGTTATGAAGGTGAGAATCTGATGAAAATCCTAAAAGACATTGAAAACAGCACAGAAATCATGTTGGACCGATGGAAGTTTGAAGTCATACCTAATGATAAAGATGAAAAGGGAGACCCAGTGCCTTACAGTATCATCAATAATTACTTTTCCATTGGCGTGGTAAGATTTTCCACTAAATATTCTTTTTTATTTTTCACTAGTCCTGTATAATTGCTATATGTAAACTCTTAGACTGTGAAGACTTACTGATTATAAATAATTTATTTTATATTTGTGTCACAAAACACCTCTTCTAATGGGCAGTGATAATACTTGTGAGTTTATTTAATGTCAGAGAATCAGAAATAGATAAATTTTTAATGTGCTAAATAAAGGAAAGAAACTATACGTTTTGAAATTGGTTTGACCATTGTGTTATTCAGCTGAAAGTTACTAGGGTTTACAATAAGTTAATCATATTTTTTAAACTATAAGCTAAACTTTACATTAGTGACAACATGAAAAGCATGCATCAAATTTTTTCTGAGAGAACTAAATTTTAATATTATTGTAGGCTACTAAGTTTTTAAATATAGACATTATTTAACATTTTGTGGTTTGGTTTGAAGTCTAAGAAAAATGCTACTACTTTTCTAAATGATTAATAAATCAAAAGGTTACTCTTTTCATTTAAATCCTTGAAAATATTAGACTAAAAGTAAACTATCATTTGGCAATTGAAAGAGTGATTGAAATATTATCCTTAAGAAATATTTTAAGAGATTTTATATAGATGTATAAATAGTGTATTTATATATCTATATAAAAATCCAACAGTTATAAAGCCTAAAGGTATATTATCTGCAGCATTCCATTTAACATTCCATTCAACCATGCACACGCAGACACACACACCCCCTTCACAGTAGACTATTAAAAGTTCCTGTTTGAATCTGTGAACTTACGATTCGAGTTACCAGGGTAAGAGTCATTTAACAATTTTTCTTTTTCTGAGTATCCATTGGTTTATATGCATCTCCAGTTATTGTTTTCCCTTTTATAATTATAGATAATGTGTTTATTCATTTAAAGAGCTTCAAAATGGGCAAAATGATGATAAATATACTATTGTTTACAATGCTAATGATGATGATTTGTAAGAAAAATGTAATGCATCTCGATCTGTAAAGGTTCTCTTATTTATATTTGATATGAATGCAAGTCATATTTTTATCTTTCATTGGTATATAATTTATACATAAGGTATTTCACTCATTTTAATTGATATTAATGAATCTATTCTGATTTTAGTTCATTTTCATCACTGAAACAAAACTTTCATTCCCGTTGGTAGTCAGTTCCAGCTCTTTCCCTCAGCTCTAAGAAAATACTAATCTTTCTTCCTCTAATAATTATCTGTTATGGATATTTCATATAACTCATACAAAAGGTAGTCTTTGGCATCTTTCATTTTATATAATGTTTTCAAAATTCACTTACATGAATTGCATGATACAGTATTCTTGTTTATTGCTGAGTAGTAATTGCCTATTGTGTTGCTATATTACCTATTATTTATACCTTTATCAGTGTATGGATATTTATACTGTAAAAATTAGGGACTTTTATTGTTATCAGTCTTCACATATTATTAACTAAATCTAATCTCTTGAGTTCCTTTAGTGAATTTTTTTTTGTTTACTATACTTTTCAGCTCCAAAATTTCCATTTGGTTCTCTTTTTATTATTTTCAAATGTTTAATTTGTATTTTCTATTTGAAGAGTCATTGTTGATATGCTTTCCTTTATTCTTTCATCCTTATTCCTTTAAACTTATTCTTTAGTTCTTTTGACATGTTTATAATAGCTGTTTTGAAATCTTTGCTAAGTCCAACATCTGCAGCCCATTTAAGAGTTAGCCCATTAGCTAACATCTAGGGCCCATCAGAGTTATTGTTTTTTCCAGAGTATGTGTCAGGCTTTGCTATTCCTCTGCATATCTGCTAATTTTTGTTGTTAGAAACAGGGGTTTTTATATAACCTTGGATTTGGATCCTCTCACAGGGATTATGGTGGTTTCTGTATTTGTTTAGTAACTTACCTGCACTAATTTTGTGGAGCCTTTCTTCCCCATGGTGGATTCTGCTACCTTAGCTTTTTGTTTTTCCTTTATGTTCTTGTTTTTATTTTAATCCTGGTTTACTAGAGATTATCTGTTTCAGAAGGATTAATCAGAGTTTAAACATCTTGGTTCAGGAAGTTGTTGTCCTTTGTTATAGCACTTGTATGTGCATTGGGGAAAAGGACAAACCTCAGACTATTATTAATCTTTTTTTTAGAGATTTATTTATTCATGCATACAAGAACTGGTGTACAGGCCAGATGTGTGGGTGGGAGGATTCACCAGAGACAGAGTGGGGAACAGAACAGACAGATCTACTGAAATTCACTGTTGAAGGGAGCAGCGGGCGAGACAGGAGAGGTCTGCCACGTCATGTGGGTATCTCACCGGCCAGCTGGGATTGAATCCATGCTGCAGAGGCTGTAGACAGCTTCACAGTGCTGCACTCAACCACCTGTGTCACCAAGGGAGGCCCTATTATTAATTTTACTTAGTTTTTTTTTTAATATTTGCTGTCCTTCTTTTGTCTTTTCTGCTCACATAAAAGATCTCTAATTTAGTCTACCTATTAGGGTACTCTTTGCTCTGTCCTCAGCATTAAGTGCAGCATTACACCTTTATGTGGCCTTTCAGACAACCAAGAGTGCCTGGCCCTTAGGGCAGTCTAAGTGCCAAGACCTTCTGTTGAATTTTTGACTAGTTAATTGGTTAGTGCTTGCCCTACTCAATTTTCCAAACATAGCTGAGCTGTGACACTGGCCAGCTTTTTCACTGGCCACAGAGAACGCCACTATTTTAGATAACTCTGTGTCATGGAGTTTTATTCTGAAGTCTACTCCAAATCAAGTCAGCTCCACTGACATTAAAGTCACTTGTTTTCATAGCTTGATCCACCCCGATAGAACTGAAGCAGTGAAAAAGCTGGAGGGCAGGGTAGCTGTTCAAGTCCAAAACATTACAGTTTATCACTATTCTTATCTGAGATTCCTGATTTAATAATTTTCAAGTTGTTTTTGCCTTTAATCAATCCAGTGATCCTCATCCAGACATAGTTACTCCTCCACCATGGGAGAAATTTGGCAATATTTGGACACATGCTTGATTGTCACAACTGTGAGGGAATTATTACTGACAGCTACTGGGTAGAGTCTAATGATTCCCGGTATGTAAAACAACTCCTCAAGCTCACAAGAAAAAAATCATATAGCTCAATATGTCACTAATGGTGAGACTGAAAAACTACCTTCCATTCTGATTTTGTACTTTTAGACACTATAGATTATCTCAAAATCCCAAGAAGAAAACTTTTCACATTCTACATCATTAAATAAACACATCCCATTCATTTTTTTCCTCATGGTAACTCATCATTCATTTGTTCAATAAACAGACAAAAAACTTTGTGCCTTTTTTTCTTGGTGAGGTCCCAGAGTTATAGAAATGAATAAAAGAGAGTGACAAATCACCTCATACTTTATTTTTTTAAGATTTATTTATTTATGCATACAAGAACTGGGGTATAGGCCAGAGCTGGGGGAGGTGAGAGGATTCAGCAGAGACAGAGTGGGGAGCAGAACAGGCTGATCTACTGAAATACACTGCTGAGGGGAGCAGCAGGTGAGACAGAAGAGGTCTGCTGCATCATGTGGGTCAGCTCCCTGGCCAGCTCCCTGGTCAGCTCCCTGGATCAAACTCGAGCTGCAGTGCTGCGGGATAGCTTCATAATGGTGACAGAAAACCCTTTGCACCACCAGGGAGTCCCAAATCACCTCATTATAAGAGTTTAAGAAAGAGGCATTAATAATCAAATGCACATGGGCCTCCCTGGTGACCTAGGGGTTAAATCTCAATGCTATCATCTCTATGACCTGACTTTGATCCGCTGCCGCCTGGGAGCTAACCCACATAAGGCGCAGCAGACCTCTCCAGCCTTGCCTGCTGCTCTCCTCAGCAGTGCATTTCAGTAGATCTGCCTGCTCTGCTCCCCACTCTGCCTCTGGTGAATCCTCTCACCCCCTGCACCTCTGGCCTACACCCTAGTTCTTCTATGCAAAAATTTAAAAACAACAGGAAACAAATTTACAAATGCATTTTTAAATTATGATATATACTGTGAAAGAAAACAAAAGTTACCATGAGATAAAATGAGGGACATGTTTAAGAAAAGCTCTGATGATCTGTTTAGCATTCAAGATCTGAAGAATACAGATAAGAGATGGACATCACAGAGACAGAGCACACCAGTAGGTATCTGAAGATACCTGAAGAACTTGAGGTGAGAAAGAGCTTGTTGTGTTCAAAGATTGTTAGGTCAGTGTGCCTGGAACAAAACATAAGAAGGTGTGAGTGAATGACAAAAGAGGGAATCGCAGAGGTGAACACTGCCATGTCTTGAAGACCCTTGGAAGCCAAGGTGTAGTGTTTATCTTTTAAGAGAGCCCATCGGACCATTCAGTGATTTTAGTCAGGAAATGAGTTTGTTCAATTTATGTACAGCAGGAGCACTTCTACCAGAGATTATAGTTATACATGAGCCAAAAGATAAAACAAGTATCATAAAAATGATACATAGAACTTTAAATATTTCATTTTAACCTAAAACCTATAAATATAACTGAATTGGCCAATCTTCCCTTATAGGCCAAGCTAATGTCATTTCTCTGAATGTGGGTCACTGAAGGAGGTTCCACAGCCTGTCTGCTGTAAACCAAACTCCATAATAAACCATCTATGATTCTATTTTTAGTTTCTTTCAAGTGGAATAAAAACTCAAAAGACCCCTTTGAAGCAATCTGAATTAAATCCTTCTAGATTTATACAATAGTTTAAAAAAATCTTTTATAATGATCTTTCTTATATGTAATTCTATGGCAAAGAATATAATTCTATAGCTGTTTCAGCATTGCCTTTATATCAAGTCTTCCCAAGTTTGATATAAAGTTGGGTATTCTATATGAGACAAAGACTTTTGTAGTCATATTTTTTTCATTTACATAATATGTAAACAAATGATAATTTATAATAAATACTATAACTGGCATAAACAGTGTTGGAAACA